GGAACTCCTGGACAGCGTACAGATTAACGTAAGAGGCCTAAAAGCGCTGGGACAGTCGGAGCTGTCGTATGCAGCAATGCTACTAGAGGTTCTCACCAAAGCAATCCCAAGTGACATCATTATCGACTATTATAAACGACAGAGGTTTCAAGAGAACACAAGAGAAAATGAGTAGTCGAAAGCAGAGCTTGAACAACTGTTATGCTATCTGCGTATAGAAGTGGAAGCCCGCGAGAAAACTGGGCTCGTCGTACTCACCAAACGAAGTCTGCCAGACGACACACGAAGCTCACACAGCAGCTATCCACCTTCAGTGGCGGTACTTCATAATGACGCGGCTAAGCAGCAAAGCTACTCTTTTTTTTTTTGCTTTTCGCCAACGCACTTCACCGATAACTGTACTTAAATCACTGTGCAGAAGAAAAGTCGGCTAGCAAAACCAGGTAGATGCTTTAGGTGTACTGCTAATGGACATCGGGCGAGTGATTGTCGCCGTAACCTACACTGCTCAAAATGCAAAGGCAGACACGCTGCCGTTTTTTGCGATCCGATGTACAAAGAAACAAAAATCTGACGCGAAAAAGAGAGCGCCATCACGCACGCGGCAACCAAGGATGCATCCACGAGCTCAGTAGATAAGCAGGTGCTCTTACAGACATTTCGAGCCTGTTTGTTGAACGGAAGCCAGCCGTGCTACATCAGAAGAGTCTTCGACAACGGGAGTCAAATAACATTCATAAGAGAAGACGTGTCGAAGAAATTGGGATTGCGCACCGTAAAAACAGTTGACTTGTCAATCAAAGCTTCTGGAAGATATAACGAAGCACCAAGAATGAAAGACAACTTCGTACATGTAGCCGTGATGAGCCACTTCAGCCATTTTCAACACGAAATCGAAGCAATTGAAGTTCCGTTTATCTGCGAGGAGTTAATTGAGTCTCCCTCTTCACACTCTTTGGTTCATAGCCTGACTAAGGAAAGACGGTATATTGCCGACTTTCTGCTTTTTCCTGGACTTATAGGAGAAGCTGGCATCAGCCTAGTTGTGGGAGTGGACCAGATAGGGAAATTCCTCCTGAACGAAGTCTGTTTACATGGCGAGCACACATGCTTGGCGGCTATAGACACAAAGCTCCGTTGGACCTTCCAAGGATCTGTGACATCTGCGTCGGCGTTTTCATAAAGCTGGAACACACATCTGTGTTCTCCGAACAAACAGCGTCGAATCGGAGGTTTCCAATACGCTCCGGCAAATCTGGGTTCTTGAAAGCATTGGAATATTTGACGCCTCGACGAACTTCAGACACGAAAGCGAAGTTCTCCAACAATTCAGCCAGGAGATTGCTTTTCAATGCGGACGGCATGAAGTAGCTCTTCCTTGGAAGAACCTTAACGTGAATTTGTCAGACAACCATGCGGTTGCTGTTAAGCGGCTACACAGTTTGGTTCGACGGCTCATCACAGATCCAGAGATGATGCAGCAGTGTGACGCAGCTGTCCGGCTATACAAAGTGGATGGACATGCTAAAAAGATAACTCGCGGCCAAAGCATACCTGACAAGTGTTACTACATGCCTCATAAGACTGTGGTAAGAGAGTCATCCACAACGAAAAAACTGCGATTCGTCTTTGAAGCCTCATCCCACGCATTTGGGGTAGCTTCACTGAATCATCATCTGGAAAAAGGGCCGAATATTACCAATGACATGGTGAAGACGCTCGTGAACTTTAGGCTGCACAAGATAGGTCTCGTGGCAGATATTCAAATGGCTTTTCTTCATATATCTATTAGAAAAAGCGACAGAGACGCTTTACGATTCCTGTGGTTTGAGCACATGCCAACGACAGGTCATCCCCTGCCCAGAGTTGAAGAGTATCGAATGGCTCGTGTACCTATTGGGACGACGGCAAGTCCATTTCTGCAGACCGCCACATTACAGCATCATTTCAAGCGTACGGAAGTAGCTTTTCAAAACACAACGGGGCTGCTCTGCGAGAACTTTTATATAGGCGATCTTGTCACAGGAGTTTTGATTTCAAACGAGGCATCGCATGTCTACGGAGAAGCTAAGGTTGTCCTTGAGGAAGCTGGCATGACACTTCAGAAATGGACCACAAACCACGAGGGGCTTCAAGGACACATTGGAAAAGAAGTAGCACCGTCTTCGGCTTCTGTAGCTAGATATGTCCTCCTTCTTTAGTGGAACACCAACACCAACGAGCTTCATCTTAATATCAAAACAGTGCTGCAGTTCCTTGAAGGCAAAGATAACACTAAGCGCTTTGTTCTACAGACGAGAGCGCAACTGTGTGACCTTTTGGGATGGTTGTCTCCATTTCTCATCAGGATTAAAATTCTTTTTCAGAGTGTTTGGGAACACGGCACCGACTGGGAAGAAGACATGCCTGGAGAATTACAGGAGGAATCTGACGAATGGTGTGAATAATTCAGGGCGTCACAATTATTTTCGATTCCGAGATGTGGGTTGAAGAACTTTTTAGATATCTCTGCACTCCACCAACTTCACGTGTTTGCAGACGCGAGTTCGAGTGCCAACGGCGCAGTGACCTACCTCAGGACCGAGGATGCAACCGGCAATGTTAGAATCCAACACTTGCTCTCAAAGTGTAGGGTAGCTTCTCTCAAGCGTGTCACCCTTCCTCGCTTGGAACTAGTTGTGGCAGTTATGGCCACTCGTTTAATAAAATTCCTCAAAGAGACGCTGGCAAACAAGCATTGGAACATAATTTATTTCTTGTGGACCGACTCAAGTGTCACTATATGTTGGATTCGAGGTTCCGCAGCCAAGTGGAAAGAGTTTGTTTCTAACAGAATGACAGAAATGCAGACAGCAACGGATCCATCCCACTGGAACCATAGTCATGGAAATGATAATCCAGCGGATTTCTTGACTAGAAGACTCTCTGCAAAGGAACTTTAAACTAACGACCTCCCGCGGAGAGGACTCGAATGGCTTTCAAGAGCACAGGAGTCCTGACTTGGGATAACTGGTACCGTCGAGTCTAGAGACGGGGATAATGATGTGATATCAGAATTGAAACGTGATGTTCCAGTTCTTGTGAGCGTGGCAAATTCGCCGGTTTTCAGCCCTGACAAGTACAGTATTTGGACCAAGATTACAAGAGTGACAGTTTGGTTAAAGCGTTTCACAGACAACTGCCGTTCACCGGCTACTCGTCATGAAGGTACCCTTACTGCCCAAGAACTTCGAGCAGTTGAAAACGTCTGGTTACATCGAGTACAGCGGAAAGCATTTGTAAATGAAATGCTACAACTAGTGAAAGGAGAATACCGGTAAAATACTTCGCAAATACGAGACTTCCATCCTTGTATTGACGACGAAAGACTGGTCCGAATTCGGAGCCGCCTCCAAAACGCGGCGGTGTCCTACAACAAGAAAAGCTCGCACTACTTCAGGTGAACAATTTGTGACAAGACTGATTGTTCTGCGTGCCCACCGAGCTGTGCTTCACAAAGGGGTCGGTCACACCTTAATTGAAATGCGCGCTAGGTTTTAGGTCACGCGTGCACGACAGGCGAAGATGGTGTAGTACGAGCATGCTACCAAAAGGGACTGTAATTTTCAGGCCTGTGCAGCGTTTGTTCCCTCCTGAAATTCCCACAGCGGGCCCCGGAGTGTGTTGAATATTGTAGGCGAAGAGGAGGAATGTGCGCATGACGAAGGACTGAAGACGAGGAAGGCCGAAAAAGAGGCGCGAGGACGGAGGATATCGAACCGACCAATGCAGGGGTTAGCGTTGTACATACCTGCTAAGTAAACACGATTTTCTATTTTTCTACACCGCGGACATCATTCTTCTATCTGTGTAAGCCAGTGCTAATACTGTTCAGTTCACTCGTTTTTTAGGCAGCTTTAGAGTGTGTTACGCCAGTGAACATACATTCGCCAAGTATGTGAGCTATAACAGCGGAACTATAATAAAAACAAAGCAAAATCCACGTGAGGCACTTCTAGCGTGGCCGCACCCTAGGAAACGGGCTGTCAGAAATCCCCAATTTCGTTGTCAAAGAGTAGACGCAGGAGGGTTCGCGGAGTTTCCATTTTAAAGCGCGAGTCTAAGGCTCAGTTGTTTGCAATTACAGCCTTCGGTATTAGTATGAATGCCATGTGATGTTAACGCTGCTGATAAGCATTTTGTTTCAAGGGATGCTACGCAATGCACAATTCAGGTAAACCTTCTACCTCGACCTTGACTCGATACTTACGGGACCTATTGTAATGATTCGTGCTGTCCAGCCAGCCTTATTTTTTGTGTGTGTCTAAGTGTTGTACCCTCAAAATAAGATTTAAAATTGTTATAAATATGAAAACAAAACTATATAAACGGTTAAAGCAACGTTGACGACTTTTTGTCTGTCTAACTTTCTGTAAATTGAAGTAAATACAGTAAAATAAAATAACATCATATATAAAACATTTTTTTACCAAAATAGGTCATAAAGTGTTTTACTTTTTTATTGTATGTAGTGACAGAACCTTTTGCGAGAATAGTAGTTGTAGGTTTTTAAAATTTGTTGCGTTTGGAGCTACTGTACTTCTGTGTGCCCGGAGCGAAAATTAAGATAGTGCAGTAGGAAAAAAAAAGAGGCTGACATTTCTTTACAATCGTTAAGTTTTTTTTAAAGAATAATATTGTAAAAAATCTACACAGAATGTCTCTTCTTTTCATTTTAATATATAATTAATTTCGAAATCATCATACACATATGACCTCACATTACTACAGTTATTAGAGAAATAGCTCTTCAGCACCAAGTACTGCGTTTAACTGAATGGAACGTCATGATCACATAAAAAGTATATGCTGAATCTCAGTTCCTTAAGTAACTTGGAAACTTAAATAAAGCATAATAATATTGTATCGATAACTGAAAAGTATTGCAAAACTACTTAAGGACTTTTGCGCTTGACTCCAAGCTGCCTGTGATTCATTCAGTTTTCGATATTAAATCCCAGGTGGAATATTTGAGAGCGGCAGTCAGAAGGCCCAGCTCAGTTTTCGTTACGCAATCGACCAAATCAACAAAGACATCAGCATCCTGCCAAGGACAGAACTGATGCCCATCATCCACGAAGTGAAACAAAAGGACAGTTTCACAGCTTCCAAAGCCCGTAAGCAACTTTTGAGTTACACTCTTCATTGTTTTCTACAAATAGTATTAGTCTAGAGAATTATAATTTGCTATGTGGTGAGTAATGTTTGTGCTGTGCTGAATAAATTTCATGATATGATGATGTTTTTTAAAATTGCACAGCAGACTTCCTTATTTTTGAACCTGAGTAATATTAATTAATTTTAAAACTGCTAATCTATGTTATTAATCATGTGTAATGCTTGTGAATAATTTACCCACTGATAATTGATAAAAAGACTTTCTATGGTTTTATGTTATGAGTTGTACTTTTTCAAGCACAGAGGGCATAAACAAGTGTGCAGGTCTAAATGTTGTCAGTTAAAAATTAAAAAAAAAATCCGATGAGTAAAACACATCAAATATGTTTAGAATTTTCAATTAAATATTATCACGGTACACAACTAGTACCTTAACTTTGTTACATGCTTTTTATCTATTTTGCAAATGTGCCAAGCCCATGCGCGGAGAGAAGTCAAAATACGCAAAGAAAAATTAATTATTGGCTTTTTTGCAACTATGAAAATGGGTTGCATAGTGCATGTAAAAATATTGCAGAGGTAAATCAGCGCAAGGAGCAACGTCTTTTATTATAAATTAGTGTTTTGCATTTGTTTTTTTATTTGTTCTAGAAACTCGAAGTTATCCTCTCGGTATTTATAATAAGACGAATGACGATGTGACGAACAAGGAATAACTGAAGAAACTGAAGCGTTTAATGGGGTGAGCTTGTGCCCAAAATAAAAAAAAGGTAATAGCAGATAACAGCAGAGCGTCCCAGGCGCCGAGACTGACTCGGCTTGCCAGGCGGAGCTCCTTTTGTAGACGCGTGGGCTTCTGGATCGTGCGGCGTAGAAGGTTTGTTGCGTTGAACATGCAAACCTTGAATAGCAAGACTGTTTTCGAATTTACCAGAACATCACATTACAGCCTCAACAAAAATGTGTATGCGCGGCCAGGAATCGAACCCCGGCCTTCGGCGTGGAAGGGAAGCGCGATAACCGTTAGGCCGCGGGCGCGCCGCCTACTTGGTCAGCTGCGCTTGCGGCATTATTCTTTCCTTTAAAAAAATGCATCGTCCCAATGCAGCACGAACCGGAGAAACAAATCCACAACCAAAAGAACAGCAGACTCGCGAGCCACAGTTTACAGTTCACAGTTCACAAATCACATTTCACAGTTCACAGTTCACTCGTCGACGAGAGTGCAAAGCTCTATCGTTCGTAATACGGCATCAGCCGGACGACGTGCACCACCTTCGGTTGCGGCTGACGTCTTGTCAATGGTCGAGTTCCGTCGGCAAAAACTTCGTAGTTCAGTTCTCCGAGGCGTCGGATGATCTTGTAAAGCCCAAAGTTGCGCTTCAGCAGTTTTTCGCTCAGACCAAGGCGACGAATCAGCGTTCCCCCTCGAACAGTCTTGCATAACGACGAACTTGACAGGGCACGTCTCACCGTGGATTTCGACGCGAGCAGTGCAAATCCCGACTGGTGTAATAAGGTGCCCACCCGCGGTCCGTATAATAATAATAATCATAATAACTTTATTTCCATCAAATGATGGGGGGCCCAAAGGAAAAAAGCTGCAGTAGGCAGCTTGACTGGTCCTCGGGGCCTTTACACTGGTCAGCAGCAACCATGTGTAAGAAATACAAAAATACAAAAAAATGACGATATCATGGGATTGCCTGCGGGCTATTCCATGATGTCTCACTTTCCGAAGGCGTTGGGAGAGCCTTCCACTCAGGACGGAGTAATCTGCTCCGCTGTCGCCGAGAGCCGACACGTCGTGGCCGTCGATAACGACGTTTAGGTTATTCGTTACCGTTGCAGGAGAGTCATTTCAGTCCCTGGTGGCGTTCGAGTGGGGGCCCTCCGACGTTCATGAAGGATCTTGGCGTCGGTCGTCTTTGGCAACTCCACCTTCAGGGGTTGCCGCGCCTAGTTTCCCTGGCGAGGAGCGAGGGGCGACAGGCTGTCTCGACGAGACCGGCGGAAGGGCGATCGCGAGCGTCGCGGCGACTGTGAACGCAATCCTCGACGGGGAGACGACTCAGCACATGACGAGCGGCGGAGGTAGTCCTCGATGTCCCGAGGTCGCTCTCCAAGACGTGGTCGAGGGTCGTTGGGCGCGAACCCTCGTAGGCCCAGCTGGCGGTAGGGACATCGACGGTAGATGTGGTCCGCTTTACCGCAGTGGTAGCACAGCGGGCGTCGATCGGCCGTGCGCCACACATCCGTCTTCCTAGATGCCGGTTGTTGAGTACGGACGAGCTGGAGCTTCCCTTCTTGACGTGAGAAGGTCCGCGGCTCTGGCTCACGTCGCGGCGGCGTGAAATACTGCCGGGCAGCTGGCGCTGGTCTCCGAGCTACTGCCGCGTAGGTCAGGGAGGGCTCTTCAGGTGCTGCTACGCTGGTAGGGGCTTCCGATTGAATTGCCAGCTGAAATTCTTCGCGCAACACTGCGGCTATCGACAGCGAAGTCGGCTGGTTGGCAGCAGACAGCAGTTTCCTTAGCTCTTCCCGGACGACGTCTCGAATTACCTCGCGAATAATGCCTGGGATCCTGGAGCCGAGGTCGCAGCTAGGCGGCGCGAGGGCAGCGAGACCGGGTGGTCGATGGTAGTGACTGGCTCAGGCTTGCAGGGCACGCTCGATGTTCGTCACCTCGGTGACAAAATCTTTGACTGTTGTCGGAGGGCTACGAACAAGGCCGCCGAAGATGCTGTCTGTCACTAACCGCACGAGGATTCTAACCTTCTTCTCTTCTGTAGCCTGAGGGTGGGCACGGGCGCTCAGGTGCAGAACGTCTTCCACGAAGCCGGTGATGCACTCGTTGGGGCCTTAAGTTCTGGTGCGAAGTAAGTCTTCGGCTCTCTGTCGGTGGTGCTGGTTGAAAAATGACGCCTTCAGCTGGCTCTTGAAGAAGTCCCATGATGTCAAAGAAGACTCGTGATTTTCGTACCAGTACCTGGCAGTCCCCTCGAACGAGAAATACACTTTTTTGCAGCCGTTGCTGTTGGTCCAGGCCTTGTGGCGGGCAACGCGTTCGTACTGGTCAACCAAATCTTCGACGTCTTCGTGGAGCTCACCGTGGAAAGCAGCAGCCGTGAGTTCACCGTGGAAAGGAGCAGCCGTCCGTGGCGACGGGCAGGTAGATGACGGCAGAAGCGGCATGCGTCTGCGACTGGTTGGCCATCGTCGTCTCCTTCGGCTTGGGCTTGTTTGGCAGCAAACCTCATCCAGGAGACTGACCTCTAATACGACTGTTTCTCCGGCCTTCGATGTCTTCGGTGAAAGGTAGCCTTCCGGGGCTGAGCACGTCGCTTGGCCGTGATGTTTTCGGAGGGGCGTGCTCCGCTGGCATAGAATGCGATACCCTGCATCTCCAGCAAAAGTCACGATTGACGATGTGAAAAACGAGGAATAACTGAAGGAACTGAAACGCTTAATGGGGCGAACTTGTGCCTAAAATAAAAAGGAAACATAATATAACAAACAGCAGAGCGTCTCGCGGGCGCGAAGTTGGCGTAACAGCACAGTCGAACGAGGAATAACTGAAGGAACTGAAACGCTTAATGGGGCGAACTTGTGCCCAAAATAAAAAGGAAACATAATATAACAAACAGCAGAGCGTCTCGCGGGCGCGAAGTTGGCGTAACAGCACAGTCGAACGCTGGGGCGAGACTGACTTCACTTGCCACCAGGTGGAGCCCCTTTTGTACACGCGTGGGCTTCTGGAATATTCGGCGTAGAAGGTTCGTTGCGTAGAACATTCTAACCTCGAATTAGGAAGACGGTTCTCGAATTTGCCAGAACAACACATTACAACCTCAACAAAAATGTGTTGGTGGCCGAGTGGTCTAGCGCACTCCAGCTCGGAGCACGTGGAGCGAAAGCTCGCGCTGCAGAACCCAGGGATCCTGGGTTCGAGCCCCACCCCTGCCCGTTTCGATCTGGATGAGCATCGTACCGGCGTGCGGTCGTGTATCACTACTGCGTGATGCACGTTAAAGACCCCAGGCTAGCGGCTGCACCGCACTGGCTAAATTTCTCATCTACAGCTGGGAGACTCGTCGCCCCTGTGAGGCAGACCAAGTTCTAGGCTGTATAAACACACACACAACCCAATTATTATTAAAAATGTGTTGACGCGTCCAGGAATCAACCCCTGTTCTTCGGCGTGGAAGGCCAGCGCGATAACCATTAGGCCGCAGGCGCGCTGCCTACTTCGTCAGCAGTGCTGGCGGCAATATCTTTCTCAGACTTTCGTTCACTGCTCGTGCGAATAAAATCCAAAATCTTTTTGCGAGTTGTTGTACTTCTTCGTTTCTGATGAATGACTATTACGAATTGATACAGGGCACTTCAATTACAACTCAATACAAAAATAAACTAAAAAAAAAACTAAAGGCGCCCTATATTTCAAGATTGGACAGTCTTTGCTCTTTGTTGTTTTACTTTCTACGCACAACAAATGTATTATATTCGCTCAACGTCTGTAAGGGCAACATATAAATGGTTTAAAGTGCTCCGGCCAGCTCTAAAATCTAAAAAAAAAACAAGCGGCTTACCGTAAAATCCGTACTTGGATGCCGTGAAGCGCTTGCTTTGAGATGGAGCTTAACCTGCCTGCGTTTGAAGCAATATATAATATCAGAAGTTCTACAGATTCGAAGAAAGGAACAGAAGATGAAGTTTCTGAGGAAAGTCACACCGTCTTAATTCAATATCAGCACAATGGAATCCTCTCCGCACTGAAGAAGACGGCACACAGGGCGACAATGATGACTTCCAACAAAGCCCTCACAATCCCGACGCTTTCAGAGACGGCACAATCAAGTTCGGCCCGGAAAAACATGTCCCCGATATGACAGAGAAGAGAATATGCAGCATACAGACAATAAAAAACGAAGTGCACATCAAACCTCCGCCGGGGATACAACAAGAAATAACTATCACCAGAGATGACAATGCTGCA